ACTGTTATATTTTGTTTGAAAGAACTTCACTCTACCAGTCTTCATAGAGTGAATATTAATCAAAGCGTTTTCTTTGAAACATATGTTAAAATAGCAACAGAAGTGGTAATATAAAATACTAGGTGCTCCATTTTTTTATTCAATTTTGTCTTGTTAAGTGGGGAAGGAAGAATGCATTTTATATTTCAGGTCAGACATATGTTCATTGACTACTGATAAAAAATAAGTAATGATTTGCAGTGCTTATACGAAGAATTAAATTGGATTTTTTTTTTTTTTTACCATAGGCTGTAAAGAGACACGCCTCTATTAAATATAGCCTTTCTCACATTCCCTTCTGCTGTTGATCCAAAAGAATGTAGAACATTTAGTCTGAAGCTCTTTCCAATTTTGCAACAAACTATAAATAGATGGCTCCCTTGGACAGGGTCTTTAATTAAATAAGCCCGTATATCTAAAAAAAAACAAAAAAAAGGAAAAAGGAAAAAAACAACAAGCTTACATAAAACAAACACTTGCTGGACGCCTGGTGATCCATAGAAAAATGGAAATAGATGAATGTTAAATATTACTTAATACTGTGAATATAATATGTATAATTATTGTATGTATGTCATTTGTGTTGTCCTTTATATTGTAAAAAAGAAAAAAAAACTTTTTTAATAAAGAATATAATTACAAAAAAAGAAAAGAAATTAGATATTTTTTTTTTACCAGTGTAACATAAGCTGAAAAGAGGCAAGCGTCCATCACCTTTCTCACATCCCTTTGTGCTGTTGATCCAAAAGAATGTAAGAAATCCAGTTTGAATCTCTTTCCAATTTTGCTACAAACTAGGAAAAAACCCTAGCACAGTGAATCAGCTGTGGATTTGAGGACGCTCTGCATAAGGACCTCCAGCATCAGATTTTTCCTAAAATCCTAATGTGAGTGCAGCCATTGCCGTGCATGCGCATTAGGTCTCCCCCACCGGCTGATGTTGGCGGAGGAGGAGCATGGGCGGAGCCTAACCCAGTGGTGAGGGACATCAGCGCTGGATTCAGGTAAGTGACTGAAGGGTTTTTAGCCTCTTCAGCACCGCAGAAGGGAGGCACGAGGGAGGGGGGCACTGCTGGAGCTTCTAGTACCATGAAAACTGGTTTGTTTTCCTGGCACTATAGAATCCCTTTAGGGACCACTCCCCTAATTACCCTTGCATCTGCACACTGCAAAAAACAAAAAATAAAACAGCCTTTTAACCTTTTAAAGTTAAGCATATTTACTGAATAAAAACAATACCAACCTCTGTCCACAGTTTTTAATTCTTCAAGGATTACTCCTGTTTTTGAACTCCTACTTAAAAATAGGACCATATTGTAAACTTGACAAGTACACTCAGTTTTATAAGAATGGCAAAATTACTGACAATTATGATTTGCGGTCACTTGGTCAGATAAAGCAAAAAAACAAACAAACGCTGTTCTGCAAATGTCAAAATCGACTCAATAAGAGACTCATGTATAGCAAAAAAGGGGATGATCTGCTAAACAAATGACAAGAACAGTGCATAGCGCATAACTGTGTGTATGAATAAACCAAATGTGTAGTTTTCAAATGGCCACTCACACTTTCGTTGAAATAAGAATGCCTTGAAAATAAATTGCTCTTTTCAGCAAAATAAATTGCTCTTTTCAGCATAAATGCCCTTCCAGGAATGATTCTTCCACCACTTTTAAACTCTCATGGAACAGTTAAAAGTTCCCTTTCCCCCCCCTTTCTTCTTGCCTCCAGTCCATGTATATTAAATCTGCCTCTAATGAGAGGGACTTGGAATAGAAATACGTGATTCATACATAGAAGGCATAAAGCACTTCCGGGTTTCGGCAGTGGAATGCATGGTGGAACACATGCGAAATCGACGGACGCATGAGGATGACGTCATAGACATCGGCCGCCGAACTGAAAATTCAAGCACCTGATTTAGATGAAGAGTTTTGTGGACATTGGGGGAGGTATAAAGGGTGGAGAAGGGAAGGGTTGTTTATTGTTCACTTGTATGCTGTCATTTCTGGTCACTGAAGTCCCTGAGGAAGTCCTACATACGGACGAAATGCGTAGGACCCCTGGTGGTGTCAGTGAGATTACATCCATTGTTTTATATTTAGATGTAAGTGATTAAATTATTTTTTCTACATTTTTAAATATGTACTACAAGTTCTGTTTTTTTCTTTGAGCACACACCTTTTAACTGTTCCATGAGAGTTTAAAAGTGGTGGAAGAATCATTCCTGGAAGGGCATTTATGCTGAAAAGAGCAATTTATTTTGCTGAAAAGAGCAATTTATTTTCAAGGCATTCTTATTTCAACGAAAGTGTGAGTGGCCATTTGAAAACTACACATTTGGTTTATTCATACACACAGTTATGCGCTATGCACTGTTCTTGTCATTTGTTTAGCAGATCATCCCTTTTTTTGCTATACATGTTCTGTTGAAGACAGGAGGAAGTCTTCGGGGAAATCCTACCTGGTTCAGGGAGGTTTTTTTCTGCTATTTATCTGTTGAGCACTTATTGCACTGTGGTTTGTGCACACATATTGTTTTTTGCAATAAGAGACTCAGTCAGGGAAAATTCTGTTATTTAAATAATCATGAATGATGCAAAATTCAGAGAGCAGCAAAAACAATATCTCGTGAGCATGTTTTCTGACCAATTCTGTGACTACAACCATGGAACAGTCATCATGCAATGCATTGTTAGATTGATTTACTGTTTTTTTTCAGCAAATTAATGTGATTTTCCTGCACAAGTAGACCAAATGTTAAACCTTTACCTGACAGGCTTTTATTTCCTGTTACTGCTGAGAATAAAAAAATGTAAATTGAGTAGTGAGCAGGTAGGTAAACAGTATGTTATTAGGATGACTAGTCTAGGTAGTTACAGTAGTCTTAGCTTGTTTACGGGGCTAGTGACAGAAGAATCTCCCCTGAAGAGTGGCGATATTTTCCTCCATTCTCCTATTTTATTTTTTTAAATTAAACTGAGTAAGATACTACAGACTACACCGATAGGTAGTGTCAGACCCAGACAGACAGTCAGTTAGAGGCAGATGCAGTGTGCATGTTGCTGAATTCAACTAAAGTGATTCTAGATTTAGCCCTGTGTAAAGATGAGCAATTTATTTCTAAACTGTTTGTAGGGATACAACTTTTAACTTTAACCCCTTAGTGACCGGAACGTTTTTCAATTTTCTTACCGTTAAGGACCAGGGCTGTTTTTACATTTCTGCGGTGTTTGTGTTTAGCTGTAATTTTACTCTTAATTATTTACTATACCCACACATATTATATACAGTTTCTCTCGCCATTAAATGGTCTTTCTAAAGATACCATTTTTTTTCATCATATCATATAATTTACTATAAAAAAAAATTATAAAATATGATGAACAAATTTAAAAAAACTTGTTCTAACTTTGACCCCCAAAATCTGTTACGTATCTACAATCGCCAAAAAACACCCATGCTAAATAGTTTCAAAATTTTGTCCTGAGTTTAGAAATACCCAATGTTAACACGTTCTTAGCTTTTTTTTTTTTAAGTTATAGGTCTATAAGTACAAGTAGGACATTGCTGTTTCAAAATATGTATTTTTAAAAATGTATCAATAGTGACATTGTAACACTGTTATCTGTCATAAATCTCTGAATCACACCTCACATGTACATATTTTTTAAAGTAGACAACCCAGGGTATTCAATTTGGGGTATTAAAAATGCAAAAAACAATTGTGAACGCTAACTTTGGCCAGTGTTTGTGACTAAGTATCTACTAAAAAAGACTGCACATACCCTATTTGCAATACCTTGGGTTGTCTTCTTTTGCAAATGGTATGCCATCATGTGGGTAATTCTCATTCCTGGGCTACCATGCGCTCTCAAAGGCAACATAACCAATCTGGCAAATTGTAATGCGAAAAAATGGAAAATCAAGCATTATATTGACACCAATGCTCTTGTAAATTGCAGCACCACATGAGTGATTTACTTAATCACTTGCAGTTGCGGAGTTCAATACATTGGCAAAACCTTCCAATAATTCAGACGCAGGATCTTGCAACATATCAATTCTATCAGTGACATTGTTACACCCACCCCTGTAGCAAGACATATTCTCAATTTCCATAATGGCAAATCGGACAATCTACGATTTCAGGTCATTGAGAAATTGCTACCCAATCCAAGAAAGGGTAACTTTGATAAAATTTTACTACAGAAAGAATCCCAATGGATGTTTGCATTCAAGACCTTAGCTCCACGAGGCTTGAATGAGGAATTTAATTATACCTCATTTATACATCGGTAATCTGGTAGAAATAATCTTATTATATTGTGCATATGGTAATCCTTGCGAATATGAGGTAAAGTTATTACACTAGTGGTAAAAAAACTTAGCCACAATATGTCTTCACAGTAATTAATAGTGTCATTACCAACTGTGACACTGTTATTGGTGATTTGTATCTATATCAAAAGTTTTTTTTCTAAGGTGCAACTTTATGATTGCTACCTTAATCTTTTATTATTTTTTATAATTTTCTTATAAATTCTCTATTTTCATTCCTATTCAAATTATTTATTGTGAGTTTATCTGTTAGAAACATTCAGCTATTATGCTTTTTAGGTTTGAAAACTCCTGAATACACAAAGAACTTTGCATTCAGTATATCCTTTTTGAGTCTACTCAGCCGATCATGGTACTGTTTAAAGCTTAGCTAAATTGCTACTACACCCTATCACTAGTAACTCTTGAGCTTCGGGCTCTGTTAATTTTTACTCTCTCTGTACTTTACTGTTACTAGTGTCCATGAAGGCACTATTCCTATTTATCTCATTTGTTCATATATATTAGGTGCGTTCTATCTATTTATCTAGGTATCTTACAGATTTACCATTTAGTAATTTTTGTTGGACATCTAGCGACTGCACTGATCGCGCTATATTTGGGTCGTGCAGGGCTACATGTTCTATTGTTTTGTATCATTCTCACACTACTTAGTCAGCTTTGTCTGCACAGGACTAGATTTCAGGTCTTTAATTGATAGTTCACACTGGCTCGATATTGCCTCCTGTTAAAGCCTCTGACTGTGAGCGAATTGTTATGAACTACCACATTATACATTGTACTTACCTAGCGATACATTTCTGCAACACATGTAGCAAGCTGACGACATCGAGTCAGCTATCTACATATCTAATAGTTTCCTTCTCACACTACAGCACTTTATTCTATTACATAGTTCTTAGTAGCTTTGCTTGTTATTTTGGCTTTATCAAATCGTGATCTTGGAGATTGCTGTTATTAGCTTTGCTCCAGATCACTTGTCTGTATTCATGTGAATTACTTTTTCTTGTGTTTTGTATTTACTCCCCTCATTCCTTGTGTGTATGCCCCTTATATATTTTTCTTTGTATAAGTTAGACAGTTAAATTTTTATGTATGTACCACTTTTTTGGTATAAATAAAGTATCTTCGAGATTTTTTTTAATTCTCTATCATAGGGACAGATTTCCTTATTTTTCTTTGTTCCATTACCTTAGGGTTAACTCCTTATCTGTTCCCTCGACTTTTGGATAATCCCTCTGGCCAATTTTTCTTTGCCTATTATATTTGACCCTGTAACTTTCAAAAACACTATAAAACCTGTACATGTAGGGTACTGTTATACTCAGGAGACTTTGCTGAACACAAATATTAGTGCTACAAAACAGTAAAACATATCATAACAATGATATTATCAGTGAAAGTGTGGTTTGTGTGTGAAAAATTTAAAAAAATCACTTTCGCTGACAATATCATCGCTGAGATATATTTTACTGTTTTGAAATACTAATATTTGTGTTCAGTGAAGTCTCCTGAATATAACAGTAACCCCCATGTACAGATTTTAGAGTGTCATTAAATGTTACAGGTTTAAATACAATGCTAGCAAATTAAATTCTCTGGATTTTCGGCCTGGGTTGTCAGGCAGGTTCCTCAAATTGCAATTAATAAAATTACTTAATTATGTAAAAATATTACATAAACATGCACGTAGAATTTAAATATATATACTTATTTATATATTTGAAGTCTGTGAAAATGTATGAAATTATTTATGTAATTATGTATATGGATATATATTCAAATTATTTTTATTTATTTATACATACATAGATATATAATTTTATTTTAAGTGTATTTTGATATATATATATATATATATATATATGTGTATATATATATATATATATTTCAAAACACAGTCAGAATAAAATTACATATGTTTAAGGTCGCAGGCCCGTATTTGTGGGAGGAGTTAGCATTCCTATAAAACCTTCACCGTGGCGTTTTCTGTTCACCAGTCTCCTGGGCAGTTCGCACTTCCGGTTCAGGCCTCCATTCGTACTTCCCGCCAGTTCTCAGCGTCCTCCATTCGTGCAATTTCAGTCGAACGACAATCAGCGTTCACGCAAAAAAAAGAACGATTAAGGTAATCGGCGAGAATAGCCGCGTCCGGGCTATTCCCGCCGTTCTACATATTTTTCTGTTCATGTTCATGTTCAGCAAACAATAAAACTAATAATAACTCCAAGTTCCCATGTGCGAAGGAGCAAACTTCCAAAGAATTCTATACGAACAACGAAAAAGAGTTCAGGGTTGAGACAAATCCGAAGGATAAAATCTCCAATAGTTTGACGTGAACTGCCAATTATCTTCAGAGACGAATCATACTGAAAAGAAAATGTGTGACAGGTTTAGACATAGTCACGAACATGTAACTCCAATTAACGTACCACCTAACATCCCATTGGAGAATATAGTAACTATAAGGATAACTGAGTAATTGTAATGAGAACTCTAATGAGGATTCCATATTAATGGAAGTACGAACATATCATATAAGCAGCAGTGTGAGAGGCAAACCTACCGTAGCCCCTGATATCTGCAAAGCAAACAAATAGAAAGGGTGGGCAGCGAAGCAGGGGGGAAAATACTCGCCTCCTGTCATTATTAAAATTAAGATTATTAGTACACTAAAGCTAGCATAATCTTCAATTTTACCACATGACAGGAGGCTTCGTATTTAGCATTTTTAATGCTGAGAAAAGAGTATAGAACTAAATAAGAGTCCTACGGTGTGCCGAGAGACCCAGTATTCAGCGTTGTGGGGAGGTCTTCCCCTTTGAGCGCCCACGTATACACCATCTAATGGGAAATTATACAAGACCAAGTCTGATCGTTTGTCAGCAGGATGTTTAGTCCCATAGAGTGAAAGGAGAACGACCTCCACAACTCATAGGCTGAAGAGGTATGACATTGGGTAGTTGGTATCCTAGAGGATCCTAGTCCCTTGGGCGTCCTCAGGTAGTGATACGGGCTGCAGTTCCGTCTCCATCCTTACACAAGGGATCAAGATGCAGGACCGAACCAGACAGGCTGGGAATGTCCAGATGTAGGGGTAGGGTCGTCGCATCCCAGATTCCCAAGAGGTCCCCGGCAGCCTGCGATCATCCACTGACCTGCCAAGAAACCCCCAAAGCGGGTCCAGGTCCCCAGGTAACCGACCCTCCAGGGATAGAAGATGTGAGTACCCTACAGCTCCGTGAGGAATTGTCGGTCATGAATGTAGCAGGAGAAGATCCTCGCCTGCTCGAGAATTTCTGTAGACCTTGTAAGCATGAGAAGCATAGGTCACCATCGTGCCTCGACTTATACTGTGACAAGTGGTAATATCCAAATCAGTCGGCCCCCCATGAGATGTGTATCCCTCGTGAGACGGGTTGATCTTCTGTGAAGAAGACGGGGATCGAAAGAGCCTACAATAGATTCGAACTTGGAACCCTGGGGTCCAACGTCCGTGTCAGAGCATCGTGAGCCACGAGAGCAGCTAGGCAAGCTGACAGGTATATGTTACTCTCGAGCGCCAAAATCGTGGTGGACAAGAGTAGCAAAATGGCCGCCCATAATCTCGCGAGACGCGAGATTAAATATGGCCGCCGAGGGTAAAGGAGGGGGAACATGATCCCTGGAGTCACGGTAGACGTGGGATCAAAGATGGCCACCGCGTCATGCTCGGGCTACCTCGTGGTCGCCCCACAGACTGCCCTGCACCAAGGCAGTGGATGCTGGAAAGCATCCAGCACATTACCGGGGGTATGGTATGGGGCAGCCTGAGAGAGCTAGGGCAGTGAGTCCGGCTGTCCACCTGAGGGTTGTAGGAGGAAGGGAACGAACGGATAGGCCGGAAGAAGGGGTTAATGCCCGGGAGCCAACGGGAACCGCGGGAGGGGATCTTTGCTGTCACTGAGAGGTCAACACCCCGTCACCATGCTAGTGGCTAGAGCCCCATGCCCAAATCATGGATAGAGCCTCTCACCTGCTGCTTGGCAACTAGCAGGGCCTCACCTGTCACGAGATAGATAGTTTTTCTGCTTCGGCACTAGTTAGCCAGCCAGTTCTACACAACGGTGTGTCATTAACACAACGGTGTGTCATTAAGCAGACCATTGTTGTTGTGTTGTTCTTTCTTGTAGTATATCCCAGGAAACCAACATAGGAGAAGAATCATCCCCCTCTAGTACACCGGCTAGGCTTAGTACCCCTGTTAGGCATGGTACCCCCAGTGAATTCCAAGAACCCTTCACGCCAGGCTCTATGAGATCCTAGACTATCTCCAGGATCTCGGCTGAATTGTGCCGGAGGGGAATCCCCTTCCCAGCTACAGAAGGGAAAGCAGAACTCTTCAAGCTGCTCACAGCGCATCCTGAGGATCCTGGATTGGGTACCAGCTCACAGGGACACAACTCAAACATACCAGGAACTCTAAACACCATCTTGTCATCTCCTCTGTCCATTAATGATAGACTGACTAAATTGGAAAATGTTAGCCTGGCTCACATAGATCCTCCTCCCATAGGATCAGCACACGCACTCACACCTTCTAACTCACAGGGTAGGACTCCTGCCTCACCTTTCACCCCCCCCCCCTCCACTCACGTAATTACCCCTAGCTCTCCGTAAGGACATTTTAGATGGTAAAGATGTAAATCTAGTCTCATTGCTAATTGCTTCCCAAGACATTGTGGAGAACAGAACATACAATTACGGCGATTTGGCTGTTGTTATGAAGGCTAGAGACCCACGACTCAACAAAAAACTCACCATACCCGAGTTTGTCCTAGCTTTCGGTATTTACAGGGATGTTGTGTGCTCTGTTTATCCACAACGCTGAGAAGATCTAGATTTATACATGCACAAAGTGGTGGACTTGGGCCACAAGTACGGGGGCTTTATGTTTTACGACTTCCACAAGTCTGTGTTGGTAAAAGCAGCTGCAACCCTGGCCTAGTTTAACATTCACACTGACTGGAGCCTGTTGGACACAGAACTCTTTTGCAGACATTTTGCAGGCTTAGTGTCCCCGTCTTGTGCAATCTGGTCTTCCACCTCCCATACCACCAATTTGTGCTCCTCAGAGGCCGATCCCACGTATGCGAACCACCCAGTTGAGTCCAACAAGCCTGACCAGCATGGTAGATTAGAATGTCCTAACCTCCTATCCACAATACACGAACCACAAATCATAGATTATATCATTGGGAAGGAAGTTGTAACGGAGCTCCTTGTACTCCGACTGAGTACCCTAGCGCTTCCTGAGGACTCCAAGCGCTGCAGCAGACACCACAACCACCGCAGACTCCGCAACCGCCGTATCTTGACTGGAGTCTCGCCGTCTTCCTTCCACCCTGCATCAGCTTCTGTCCTCCAGGACTGTGGGGGAAAGAACTCTTCCTTCCACCCTGTATGAACCTCCAGCATCCAGGACTGTGTGGTGAAGACCCCTCCTCCAAGGAGAGCGTGTCAGGAACAAGCTCTTAAAAGAGCTAAGTGACTCAAGCTCAGGGGAGCATGCAGAGCATAGCAATCCCCAGTGTGATTATAACAGCTCCCTCCAATAACGAGACAAGGCTACGTTTAGAGGGATCAAGAAGAACTATCAAAACCTTTATTTCCCTTGGGACCAGCCAATAGGGTCACCACAATAACATTGTTGTGAAACCTCAATAAAATCAAAAACAGTCAAACCATAGCAGGCAAAACACAGTGACTTATCACAGCACAATGGCACATTTTTAAAGGGGTGGGGGAGACAATATTTAACAAAATATCTCACGTGTCTGCAGAATTAGCAATATGCAAATGTACCCAAATATGCAAATGAACCAGTCTTGCTATTCAGGTAGTGCATATTGCTGTTGCTGCCAACAGAGGGCACTAGACAAGCTCCATAGCCAAACCCACCTAGTTGGTAGCAAACCTCAGCAGTACAAGAGAGCAGGCAATACATTACACAGTACACACACACACACACACACTATAAACAATTACATTACATACACCCTGCACCTATGATGGGTACAGGGTGACTAAAACATAAGATAAATAAAGCAGCCTACATAAATAGTCTGTCTGAAGGTAGACTAGGGGCTTTAAAGCCAGATACATGAAAGAGTCATAGTCACAGGGGAGGAGGCTGGCAAGTAGGCCTCTCCAGGACCA